GGAGCCAAAGGTGGAAGGCACAGCTCCAGTACATCATCTCATTTCCTTCTGAAAGAGCTGTCTGTCCTGTGCTGTCTCCTTGTACCAATAGGGCATGAGTCATTTGCAATGGCCAAATACTAAGGTGAAAAAACTACAGAGACCAGACGTTTATGTCATCACCTCCACCTGCTGAGGAGCCTGTCTGAAAGAACATAAACATCTTCCCATTGCTTCCTGGGCAATGCTCCAGTGCTGGCAGCCAGTGACAGTGTTTGTCTATATATACTGACAGCCTAGAGAAATCTTGTTTTTGTACTTTCTCCCAGGATGCTTTTGGCATTGTTTACAATCTGCACATGTGGCCTGTCCTTTGCCCTGGCATCCAGGAGTGGGTCCCTTGCATGATTTATAATTTTGTTTATACTTCCTTCTTGCATTATGAAAAAAGTTCTTTAAAGAAAAAAAATTCTCAATTCTTAGTTTTGTCCCTTTAAACAAAAATTCAAACTTTTTAAACTACTGCCGTTTGACGGATTGCTTTACCATGATTTCCTATTTTAAAACTATTAAGACTTTGAGTAAAAAATCAGATCTAAACCTATAAGAATAACACAATATACTTATGGGAGGCTACAGTTTCAAAACTTAAGTTCATATTATTTGCAAATGAGTTAAAATTCTGGAGCTTGGGTATGTCCTGAACAATGCCCATAAGTCAAAATAATTGTTTCTCATAAAACATCACTGGATGCTTATTTTATATTTGAAATCATGGTGTGTATTAAAGAATTGAGAGCTGTAATAGAGCCTAGGGAGTTCCTCAGTTCACAGAGACTGACCTAACATGTAAGAGGTCTTGGGTGTCATCCCCATGGCTACACACACACACACCCAGCAGGGGTGAGGTTGGGGCAAACCTTTAACCAGTAGTTCAGAGGTTGAAGCAGGAGGACACAGTGATGTTTTAATTCTCTCCTCAGCCTTTCTGGAAGCTACAGCTCCAAACACAAAAATAAAGTTACATGTTTGCTCTTCTAGCATATTTATTTGTTTCTTTGCTTGTTTTGCTTTGCTTTGTTTGAGATATGATCTCCCTCTATAGCTCCTGGAATTCACTCTGTGGACCAGGCTGTCCTCAAAAGCACAGAGAGCAGCCTGCCTTTGCCTCCACAGGGCTGGGGATAAAGGTGTGACCACCATGCCAGGCACTTCTCGCTTTTTCTTTGTCCTTCAATTTCTCTTTTTAATTTTATTTTTCATTTTTTATGAGTATGATTTTTTTTTGTCTGCACGTACATCTATACACTATGTGCCTGCCTGGGTCCCTTCAAGGGCAAGCAAAGTGTGATGATGAACGTTATGTTTAGAGGATAATTTACTGTGCTAGACTTCTAAAAACAAAATTGCTTTTAGCTTGTATAAGCCATGAGGAAATTGCTTCTACACTGACTACACCCTGTCAGGTAGCCTAAGATGGACAACTTCCTGGTATAGTTGGGCTATTCTTAAAAACTTCTGATTGTTGGAAAATATTTCATTGCCTCAGCTATTCTTACAAGGCTCAGTTCACAAAATTAAACAGTCTAAATGCTAATTTCCACTTTTGTATGAAACGCTTGCCTGCTTGATGGGCTGAGGCAGGTGCTGGATGTCTGTTACAAAACCCAGCCTTTGTCTCTGACTCTTTTCTTGCCACTGGGTTGCCTTGTCCAGTCCTAACATGAGATGTGCTTAGTCTTATTAGAACTTGGTGTGCCATGTTCGGTTGATATCCCTGGGATGCCTTCCCCGTTCTGAAGGGAAACAGAGGAGGAGTGGATCTCGTCGGGAGGGGAAGTGAGAGGGACTGGGAGGAGAGAAGGGAGAGGAAACTGCTGTCAAGATATAATGTATGAGAGAAGAATAAATTAAAATTAAAGCTTTTTAAAAATAAGATAAAAAAACAAAATCAAGCCTTGCCCACACCCAGACTGAAAGAGTTAATTTGGGACCCCAAAATTACAGCTTTGTAGGTTTTGCCTTTAAAATCCGAGGCTTTGCCTCGAGAACTTGCTCTGGTTCTGTCCTGGTCAGTCTTTTGTAATAAAAGCTTCTAATTTTCTAAAATCAAAACTTGAGTCAGACCCACAATAAGAGGAAGTACAATTCCCTGGGAAGTAGTAATTCCCTGGAGTTACAGACAATTGTGAGTTGCCATGCAGGTACTGAGAATTAAATCCAAGTCATCTAGAAGAGCAGGCAATGCTCTAAACCACTGAGCCATCTCTATAGCCCATTGTGTTATGAATTATTGTGTAGGTGGGGGGACCCCAAGGTGTGGTGGTATTGTGTATTCTAATAAATTTATCTGGGGTCAGAGAACAGACAGCCACTAGATACAAAGGCTAGAAAATGGTGGCACTCACACCTTTAATCCTAGCATTCCAGAGATAGAAATCCCTCTGGATCTCTGTGAGTTCAAGG